CCGAGACGGCGCCCAGGCCGCCCGCCGCGGCGTCCCCGCGGCCCCAGCCCAGGTAAGCCGGGCGCAGGTGCGGAGCAGCAGGTGAGTGGCCTCCGAGGCCCCAGACCTGCGGGTGGGGATGGAGCTACCCGTGCGCGCTGCCCCCTCCCCAGCGTCGCCATGGAGCCGAGGCTGAAGGACGTCTCTTTGTGTCTCGCTTGGAGGAGCCGCCCCCTCCTCCCTTCCCCCACCTCACACCCTGGCCTTGGGGTTCGGGGCCCAGCTCCCCGTCCCCACGGGGGAGTGGTGGCAGAGCGCCTTGAGCCACAGAGAGGGGAAAAGAAGGTAGAGTCCCCTCCCCAAAAAAACTGCGAGCCTGGAGTGTTGGATCCTCCGCCTTTGGAGAATATGTACCCCTACCCCCCTCCCCAAGGCCAGGCTGAGTTCTCAGGTGAAATCCCTCCTGGGAGAAGATTTGGGGGTGTCTGCAGGTGAGGGGACCCGTAGTGTGTGGTCCTAGGGTAATGGCTGGGGCTTTGGGTGTGTGTCTTTGTCTGTGAGAGGGCAGGGAATGGGTGTGCTTGAAAGAATGGGTGGGAATCTCTTATTTTCTCTGACTCCAATGCCCGGCACCCCGACCACGGTGGGGGTCTTCACCCAGGCCACTTTGTGCTCCCTGCGGGACAGGGAGGGGGCAAGCCCTTTCCAAAGTGAGGCACTGGTTTCTGGGGAGAGGAGGTAGTCCCGATAAAGCCATTTCAGGTCAGGCACTTTTCTGTCCCCTGGTGCCCCAGGGACAGCAAATTCAAGGCCTTCCCTTCTCCTGACCTCCAAAACACCCAGGGCCAAACCTCAGATTGGGTCAGCATGTTCTGGACAACCAAAGGACCATTCTAGGTTATCACTTTAGCTTTCCAGGACGCATACAAGGCAGTACCTCAGCATGGCCCTCAGTGAGGTGCTGAACTCCAGGCCCCGTGGCTCATGGAAAGATGAGAGGCCCGGGGATGTTGTACCCTGAAATTCTGAATCAGAAGGAGCTGAATGATGCCAAAGAAGCACTCTGGGCTGCTGGGGTTTCCACCAATCTCTTCTCTCTGAGCCCTCTACAGGCAAGCAGCGGTGCCAAAGAAGGCAGGGCTCTGGGTACAGGTAGCCCCACCAGGAGTTTCTTTGTTCATTTATTCATTCAACAGACTTAACTAGTGTCTCTGATGTACAAGGCACTGGCATCAAGGTTCTCTTTCACTTCATCCTGATCTCCTTTCCTGATCTTTCCTGTACATCAGACTCCTGGGCTGTCCTCAATTTGCCCAGGCCATGCTCAGTTGGAAGTGAGCCTGGTGAGGCCCAGCTGACCAGCTCTGACCCCCCACACCTGAAGCACTTGATCCCCATCCTTCTGCAGACTTGGGGTCCCTGAGCCTCTGTGGCCAATTCCTCCTCTTCCCCTTTTCTAATACCAAGTGCCCCCACCCCACCTGCTGCTGGCATTGACCCATTGTGGGGAATGTGATCGGCAGGAGAAAGGGTGGGAGGTGCTTCTGGCCATATCTCTGACAGCCCCTCCTGCAAATTCAAGGACAGCTGAGGCAACCCCCCTCAGCACAAGCTGTGGGGGAGCCAACTGCCCTGAAGACTGGGTGATCTTGGGTAAGCGTGTGGCATCTCTCAGAGATAATGAGAGAAAGTGAATCACTCACTCTGTAGCTGGAGGGGCGGATGTAGATCACAGTTGGGCCTCAAGAAGCATCCAGGTGTGTCCTCTCCAATTCTGAAGGAGTTCATTTTTCCACAGAGGGTTCCCAGGAGCCTAGGGCCTTGTCATGTGACCCACAGGCAAGGGAGTAGAGTGAGAGGCTAAAAAGCAGAGATTTGAGCCAGGACTGCGTGGCTCAGTGGTTGGACGTCAACCCATGAACCAGGAGGTCACGGTTTGATTCCTGGTCAGGGCACATGCCTGGGTTGCAGGCTCGATCCCCAATAGGGGGCACGCAGGAGGCAGCTGATCCTCATCATTGATGTTTCTTTTTTTTTCTTTCTTTTTTTATGTTTTTATTGATTTCAGAGAGAGGAAGGGAGAGGGAGAAAGAGAGAGAAACATCAATGATGAGAGAGAGTCACTGATTGGCTCCCTCCTGCACACCCCCTACTGAGGACTGAGCCGGCAATCCTGGCATGTGCCCTGACTGGGAATCGAACTGTGACCTCCTAGTTCATAGGTCAGTGCTCAACAACTGAGCCATGCCAGCTGGGCCATCATTGATGTTTCTGTCTCTCCTCCCTCTCTCCGAAATCAATAATAAAAAATAAAAAGCCCGGCCGGGCGTGGCTCAGCAGTTGAGCGTCAACCTAGGATCCAGGTGATCGGGGTTCGATTCCTGATCAGGGCACATTCCTGGGTTGTGGGCTCGATCCCCAGTTGGGGGCATGCAGGAGGCAACTGATCAATGACTCTCATCATTGATGTTTCTGTCTCTCTTTCTCCTCTCCCTTCCTCTCTCTGAAATCAATAAAGATATATTTAAAAAATAAAATAAAAGAAATAAAAAATAGAAAACAGATTTAAAAATAAAAAGCAGAGATTTGAGTCACTGTGACTAGGGAAAACTGTCAAGAGGCCAGAGGGGCACAGGGAGTAAGATCTCCCCTTCTCACTAACTTGCAGTGGCTCGCTATTGAGTCTGGACTAAACCACAGTCAAAACCTTTTGCAGTTTGGCCCTAAACTGCCTCCCAAGTGTCATCTCCCATTGTTCGCTCATCACCCTCTATTTCACCTCTGGCTCATCTCCATGTCCCCTAACTCCCTCCCTCCCTCCCTCCCTCCACTGTGTGCTGTTCCCCTGACCTGAAAAGCTTCACTATTGGATGGCTCAGGAGCAGCTCTCTGCCTCTACCTCCCCTTTTGATCTACCTGGAGATCACAGAGTGGAGAGCTGCATTGAAATGGTTGAGGGGTTGGTGGCTTGGAGACAGTAGAATGTGTCTACATGTGCTGTGAGAGTTTGTTTCCACATCTAGATGCTGAGCTCCAGGAGATGAGACCAGATCTGTCTCATCCCCACTGCATCGGCTTGTCTGACCCCAGAACCCAGAATAATATATGACACATGTTGTAAAATACAGCTTCTAGATTCATTTTGATATTGACACATCCAAATCTTGTTTTTCTCATTTGCATTTGCTGCCAATGCTAAAAAACACAATTTCACATACAAATATTGATTTTTGGATCCTATTGAAAAAGCAGATGGTGTGGCAAACCCAGGGAAGAGCCAAAGGGTGACAGTGGCAACCTTTAGACAGAGCAGCACCCTCCAGCTTGCCCCAGACCCCACCTGCCTGTTCACTCATTAACATGACCTGCTGGCTCTGCAGGCTTGAGGTGGAGGCCAGAAAGTGTTTGCTCTGTGAATGACCTTCTTTTGTGGATGTCTTGCACACCCATGTATTCCCTGCCTCCCCAGGGCCAAGTTAGAACATGCATAGAGCAGCACCCCTCTGGGGTCTTAAGGCTGTGATAAAGTGAGCCTGAATTCCTCCTTCCAGAGTATCAATAGCCTGGTCCCACTTTCTACTCTTTGCCGCATCTTGTGCCCCCTCCCCTATGCTAGAAGGGTTCAGCCGCCAAAAACCTGTTTTAACTGTCTCACTCGCCCAGGAACAAAAGGCCCGGGTCTTGCTGAGGACTGGGGGGAGGACTATTCTCTGGGCCTCAGTTTACTCATGTGTTAGAGAGGAATTGGAAGCTATAAGCTTCCTCTTTGTCCTCATTTTCTAGGACTTGAGACCAAGCTGCTCTAGTTTGGGTCAGGCAGGAGAGATGGGGCCTAGATTCAGAAGTCACTCAAAAATATCAACATTCCCTAAACCATGAAACCAATGGGTGTTGCCAAGTATCTGGGTCAGGGGCCGGAGGCCAGCACTGGGTACCAGGCACTCGGCATGGCCCTGGAAGGGAGTGTGCCATCTTCCTGGATGAAGGTGTACAGCAGCCCGAGGTTGGAGGGATGGCAGAGCACCAGAGTTGAGAGCACAGGCTCTGGACCCTGCCTGGGTTTGAATTCCACTTAGTGCTGTATGACGTTAGTCAAGTCACTTAACCTCTCTGAGCTTTAGTTTACTCATGTGGAAAACAATGATAATACCTACCTCAGGGTCATCAGGGAGGCTGAATTAAAGCATGAAAAGGGCCTAGGACCTGGTCTAGCATAGGAAAGTGCTCAATAACTATTGGCTCTTATTTAAAGGTGCACTGGCAAGTGAGAGACTAAGCCTTGGTAACTGCCTTGGTTTTCCTATAGCCTGTCTGGGGAGGCCATAGGGCTTTTGGTGCTATCCCCATGAAAGGGGAAGTGAGTGTTTGAGAGGCAGTACTGTGTGCTGCTTAAGAGCATGGAGGAGTCCCTGCTCCTGGTGGGTGGGGTGGGGTTCAAGCCTGAGGGTCTGTGAGGGCCCTTCCAGTACCTTGGCCCCTGACTCTGCCTGAGGGGTGGGATCTAGGGTGGCCTGGCCCTAGCTCTGTAGTTGAGGCCCTCTTCTTTCCTAGCTCTGCTGTCTAGGTGTTCCGCCTGTCTGGCTTCTGTCCCCAGGCTTTCTGCCCCAGGCAGATGGGCCTCAGGCCAGAACCTGGACCAGCATCCCAAATAGACTCAGGGTTTTCCCCAAACTATCCTCTCCCTCCCCTACTCTCCTGGTCTCAGGAAACTGTGGCAGTTAGGCCTAGAGGGGCTAATTAAAATTAAAGGCCCCTCTCCTCTCCTATCCACCCACCTTCCCCAGTCCCCACCATAGCCTGGCTGGGAGCCTAGTAATACCAGGGTTGGAAGGAAGCAGGGGAGCATTTTTCAATGTAAAGTACTCCATGCCCAGCACTGGCCATTGCTTTGTCATTTAGTGCTGAGAACAGCATTAACCCAGAGCGGGGATTTGAGCCCAGCTCTGAGCCCCCAGGGGTTTGTGTGAAACTGGCGGCAAACTGCCTAGGTCTGAATCCTACTTCTGCCATTCACTGGCTACGTGACCTTGGACAAGGCGGTTGTCCTCTGTGCCTCAGTTTCTTCTGATGTGG